GACAGCGTCTCACTTTATCACCCTCAGTAGAGTGCTGTGGCATCATAGCTCACAGCAACCTCCAACTCCTGGGTTTAGGTGATTCTCTTGCTTCAGCCTCCCGAGCAATGTGAATGTTCTTAATGCCACTGAACATCACACTTAAAAATGGCTAAGATGCTAAATGTTACATTATTTGTATTTTATGCTGTGTTTATTTCACCATAATTAAAAATAAAAAGAAATACAGGAGTGCCCATAGCGTGGGAGGAAACATTCAGAAGTAGAAATCCTGATAATGATAACAGAGTTGGGGTGGGGGACAGGCAGGTAGAAGACAGCCAGGAGAAGTGGGGGGTGGTACCGCAGGGCAGCGTGTGCATCAGGGGAGCAGACTTTGCCCGGGGTTGGGGAGTGGTGTTCTGGATGTCATGATGGGGAGTGAGGAGGACTCTCATCCCACCTTAGCTCTGAGATACATAGGTGGTGCAAGAAGGAACAGCACCAGGTCACAGGTAACAGGAGAAACAGTGTCTTCATGGGACATTCAAGGTTCAGTTCAGGCAAGGAGGCAGAGCAAAGAGTCCAAGGAGAGACTGAGCATATCAGGATGCCCTGGGCCCAGGGGGAGCATTAGTCAACAATGGTGAATAGTGCATTTGAGTTCAGGAGATTGTGTGACCTTATAGGCTCAATCTGCTGGTGCTAGGTGTTGAGCAAGGGTATTGAGAGTTGATGAGATTCATCACTGTCCCTGGGAGTGAGAGCAGAGTGTGATTCTAGCTGTGCTCTTCTGAAGACTCTGCTTTAAGGGTTGGAAATGGAGGAGATTTTTAAGTTGTGATTAATTCTGTGGTCCCAGAGGGTTAGAGACTGGCCTCCTGAGAGCCCCTCACTCTCCATCCCATGCCCACATCGGATATCACAACCTGAGTGTGACACCCTTTCCTGACAAGTTTGGACATGAACTTAGACTCCTCCATATTATTCCTCAGAAAGTCAAACTAGATATTGATTTACCAGCCTTGACTTAGACCAACATACTCATTTTATGGTCAAATAAACTGAGATTAAGAAAGGACAGTGATTGGCCTAGGCCAAGATGGAACCAAAATTCAGATTTCCTGTTTTCCATATGACTGTGGGATATGTCCTAGCTCAGGGATTCAATGTAGCATTGATGGAGTGCTGAGCATTGCCCATGAGCTGCCCTAAACAGTTAGTCATAGAGAAGTGACAGGCATGAAAACAGTTCACAAATGAAGAAAGGGTGGGAATGAGATAATGAGAGACAGAGAGAGAAGGGAGAGGGCAGGGCAGGCCCAACACCTTCTGAGTGTTACTTGAGGCTGTAGAAGGGGCCAAGCAGGGCAATTACCTCTGATCTCGCTGGGGATTAGGACTTCAACACACAAATTTGGGGGGGAGACACAATTCAGCCCCTAACATATGTCCAGGAGATGAGACAAGACCGTTCTAGCTCTGTAGAAGAAAAGAGCTGTCAGGGCAAGACCACTGGATGGGGATGCACAAGTGTACTCAGTGTTTGCCAGATGGACACAAAGAATTCAGGATTGTTCCTGTGAGATCAGAGGCTCTGTGGCATATAGGTGGACCAGTTCAGCTTCCAGTTGTTGGTCATTCTGAAAAAGGAATTAAAGGAAGGCAAACCTGTCTGTCAGTGTTGGAGAAAGCTCTGGGAGCTGTCTGGACTGGTAAAAGCCGGCTCCTTTCCCTCCTAGCTAGAGATATAAAAACAGACTCTGTTGGAAGCCTGTGGTTTTGTGTGGTCTGACAAGCTAAATTTTTTGTTTTCATTTTTAAAACAGATCCAAAATAGAAGGACTTCAATGCTACCACTCATTCCTTCCCATCTCACAGAACAGGACATGAGGAAGCTGGGAATGGGGTGTATGTTTCTGATCTTGAGATCCTAACCATGTGTGGGTGGCTCCGCCGTGGCTTCACATGGTCTGTCTACCCTCTGACACTCCGTGTCCTTATCTCCTCTCTTAGAAGGCCAGCAGCAAGACCTGGTCAGGGTCCACCCTAATGATCTCACTTTACCTGACTTATCTGTTTAAAGACCCTAACCAGAATCAGAAAGAAGAAAACCTCTTTTGGAGGGTCTTTGGTAGTAGAACAGGATAGTCTGGACATGAACATTTAGGAAACTTTTTCTTGCTCAAAAGGGCTGCTGTATTATATAGATAGTTGACAAAAAACAGAACTGCATCTGGCATGAACGTTAAAGTCTTCTGTACCTCCAACTCTGAGTAGGCCTGGATTTCTTTGATTTCTGAAATTTCCTGGTCAATGATAAGAAATGCTCCTGGGTTTATCGAGTTTTTTTTTTTTTTTGAGACAGAGCCTTAAGCTGTCGCCCTGGGTAGAGTGCCATGGCATCACAGCTCACAGCAACCTCCAACTCCTGGGCTCAAGCGAGTCTCCTGTCTCAGCCTCCCAAGTAGTTGGGACCTCAGGCGCCCGCCACAACGCTCAGCTATTTTTTGGTTGCAGCCGTCATTGTTGTTTGGCGGGCCCACCAGGCTAGATTCGAACCCGCCACCTTAGGTGTATGTGGCTGGCGCCCTAGCCACCTGAGCCACAGGCGCCGAGCTGGGTTTATTGAGTTTATCTAATCCTGAAGAACTCACCCCAGGGGTACAGACCCCTGAGGGAACAATGTCTTGGGAACGATCCTAACCCCTGGTGTCTGGGGCTAGCTCAACCTCCATTTCCATTTGCTTTTCAAATCCATCTGAATCTAAAGGTGCATCTGAACTAACCCTGGGGAAAGTCACAGAGCCTCTACACTACAGAATTTGGAGCCCAGCTACCCCAGAACAACCCTGAATTCCTTTGTGTCCATCTGGCAAACACTGAGTACACTGTGTGTCCCCATCCAGTGGTCATGCCCTGAGAGCTCCTTTTTTTTAAGGGGCAAAACATGTCCTGTCTCATCCCCTGGCCGTATGTTATAGGCTGAATTGTGTCTCCCCCACAAGTGTGTATGTTGAAGTCCTAGCCCCCAGTACATCAGAATGGGACTGTATTTGGAGGTAGTGCCTTTAAACAGATAATTAAGGTAAAATGGGGTAGGGCCTAGTTCAATATGGATGCAGGAATGTACAGAGGGAAGATAGAGTGAAAATAGAGTCACCTGAAGACCAAGGAGAGAGGCCTCAAAGGAAACCAACGCCTTGATCTCAGACTTCCAGCTGCCAGAGCAGCGAGGAAATACATATTTGATGTTGAAACTAATCAGTCTGTGGCACTTGGTTATGGCAACCTAGAAAACTAATACTCCGTGTCTGGGGACATCCTGTAAAGTGGGCAGAGGGGTATTTCTTGGCACATACCCCTCTTAGGGAACAGTAGGGCAGGATGTGTGGTCTGGAGGGGCCATCTGAGTGGAGCTTTCTGGGAAAGTGGACATGGTCTCACTCACCTTTCTGACCCCTGCTGAATGCCCATGTGACCTTGCAAGACTGTGATGTGGAAAGGTCAGGGTCAACTCGTGCATTCTACTCCTAGCTTGAGTCCAGTTCTATGGGATGGGAAGGGATGAATGGCTGCCCTGTCACTGATTTCTGACTGTATAGAGCCTTTCTAAAAAAAGAAAACAAAAATACTAACTTATCAGACCACACAAAGCCACACAGGCTTCCAACATAGCCCACAAATCTTTCTGGAGCAGCCACAGTCACACGTTGCCTTCTGCAGAGCCATTGGGGCACAGCTGATTCACATAAGAATAAAGTTTCAGGGGTGGACCCCAGGAAAGTCCCAAGCCAGTAAGGAGACATCCTGAGCTGTCCTTTGCTTGCGTAATCTGCCGCCTAGTCACCGCAGCTGGCTGCCATCCAAGATCGGGATGCAGTGAGGAATAACTGAGCTTCCTCTGGGAGGGAGGAAACAGTTAAGATCTTGGAGCAGCTGTAATCATGTGGGCGTGGTTCTCGTCTGACTCAGGCTGCACAGGTCCTGGGCCAAAAGGCAGAGGAAGGACCGCTTAGGTGGCAGAGCCTTCCAGATGGCTGAGCTGGATCTGATGGCTCCAGGGCCACTACTTGGGGCCGCAGCTCACCCGCTGGCCCCTCTCAGCCCAGGCTCTGGGCCAGTCAGCCCAGCAGAAGAAGAGGACGTGGGCTCCCCGGAGAGGCCCTGCAGGGAGGCTGAGGGACAGGACAGTGGCTCTGCGGAGCAGGGGGCTCCTGGAGGCCAGGATGAGGACATCCTGTGTGATTTCTGCCTCGGAACCAGCAGGGTGAGGGCGGTGAAGTCCTGTCTGACCTGCCTGGTGAATTACTGTGAGGAGCACTTGCGGCCACACCAGGAGAACAGCAAACTGCACAGCCACCAGCTGACGGAGCCAGTGCGGGACCGTGACCTGCGCACCTGTCCCACCCACCGCAGACCGCTAGTCACCTTCTGCTGCCGGGATCAGCAGAGCATCTGCCAGCAGTGTGGCCAGGAGGAGCACAGGGGCCACACCACGGTCTCCCTGGAGGCGGCCCGCAGGGACAAAGAGGCGAGTGCTTGGGGCCATCCATCTGGGAGAGGGCCATGGGGCTGTGCTCAGGGAGAGGCCGGACACACTGCCCATTTCACTCTGTGCTCCTAGTGCACCTGCAGTGAAGGGCTCCAGCCTCTGTACCTGGCTGCGTCGGTTACTGCACTTGGCTCTGGAAACTGTTTGAATAGGTCGTTCTGCCCCTGTCTCTGCCCCCGTCTCTGTGCCTGGATCTCTGTCTGGGTTTTCCTCTTGGGCTTGCTTGTTTCCTGCTATTTCTCAGGCAGCTTTTAGTGGTGTTTGGTGTGGTCTGCAGAAGTTGTGGGGCTTAGGGCAGCGATGGTTCCTGGTGGCTGATCTGCCCACAGCATGTCCACTGTCAGTTAATGAAATGTAAACCTTGGCAGGAATTCAAGAGAAAAAGAATAAATCTTTCCTCTAATTTCTCTTTTTATCCTTACCTCAAACAAGAGGCCAGTAGAACAAACGAGCCTGTTTGGAGGTAACTGGTGTGAAATTCAGGAGCTTGAAAGTACTAAAATGACATGAAATTTGAAACTTACATCCAGGTCTAATGCCAAGGAAGGCTTAATTTAGGGCAAATAAAAGTTCTCACCAGATAGAGGTATCGGGAGAGACCAAGAAACACTTGGCTTATAGTCTGGAATTTTATTTCCATCAGTTAAGGAAACTGTCTCTAGAACAACTAGCTTTTCTTTGCCCTAAGGCTGAGAGCCTAGAGAATCTTCTTGGTAATTGATTTAGCAACTTTGTATGCTTTGTTCTCTCATTTCCACTTTCCAGAGAACTCTTTTTCAGTAGGGAAGTGCAGTTGATTTTTGTCCCACTTTCCTTGCACGCATGGCTGCTTCCCATCTACGCCGCCCGAGAAGGCAGGCACACAGCCATTTTTTGACAAATGTTTCCAGGCAAACAAAGAAAGAGGCTTCTGGGAAAAGGGGTTTACTAGCCAGGGCCCCTCCTCTGTACTCATCCCTAGACTTAGATTTATCCAGTGCTAGTAGGAATTGTTCTGAAAAGCTCAGTATTTCAGATGGTAATGAGTCACCATTTCCGCTGGAAGCCAGTTGCCAGCTGTTTCCAGGAGTTCTGGAGTCCAGGAATGTGCCTTCAGGAGAGCATGTAGCTCAACAGATAGTTTATCAAAGGAGAATGAATGCGCCACATAATTGAGGAAAGCAGCCTTCACTGAGCATCACTACCACTAAAGCTAAATGTTTTTTGTGGATTTTTCTACCCAATCCTCAAAGCACTGTGTGAGCCAGGGACTCATTATGTGCACCACACTTTATTTTTTTTTTTTTTGAGACAGAGTCTCACACCGTCACCCTGAGCAGAGTGCTGTGGTGTCATAGCTCACAGCAACCTTAGTCTCTTTGGCTCAAATGATTCTCTTGCCTCAACCTCCTGAGTAGCTGGGACTACAGGTACCCACCGTGACACTTGGCTAGTTTTTCTATTTTTTTGTAGAGACAGGGTTTCACTCTTGCTCAGGCTGGTCTCGAACTCGTGAGCTCAAGCAATCCACCTGCCTCAGCCTCCGAGAGTGCTGGGATTACAGGTGTGAACCAACCATCATGCCTGGCTGTCCACGCTGACTTGTGACAGTCAGCTACGTCCACAGTGGGGAAGGGAAGCTTCTGGAAAGCCATCCTGCTGGAAGGATATGCAGGAAGGACTCTAAAATCACAATATTATAGCTTTACTTTTTAAAAAAAATTACACCAAAACCTTGCCACACATACACTAGAGATATTAACACAAAAATGTGCTGCTTTTCCCTCTGGGGGTGATATCTGAATTTCATTATTTTAACCAGAAAAATGATGCATGGAGATGTTAAAAAGCAATCTCCACTAAACAATGCAATAGATTTAGGAGGGTCTCAGCCCTTCCTGGATCCTGACACCTTTCTTCTGCCCTCAGAGGCTAATAATATCTACAGTCTACAATCTGTATCTTTTTAGAAATAATACACTATAAACTTTAAGTAGGGTGCCTAGTGTATTACAGAGACTCTGGGTAATGGTAATTCCCAGCAGGAGTTGTGTAGAGCATGTGAGGAACTCTAAATTCAGATGTCCTAGGAGTGAACTGTATAAAGTAAGATGGGTCAGGGGATTGAGGGCAGTCTGGGGCTGGAAAGCAACATGACGGTAGGCACAGTCCTGTAGCCTAGACAACTCTGCTGGAAAGAGCCTTTCCATCCTGTGCCCTTGTTTTCAGCTGGGATAACTAGTTCACTGTCAGTGAAATCACATGTTAGGTGGCTCTCCTAAATATTAGGAGCTGGAAGATTGCTTACAAGGAGCTCAGACAACAGACCAGAGGACACAGTACCTTGACAAGGCTGTAGCCTCCACCAGGATAATTTTAAAAGTGTTAACAGACATAACTAAGACTCCAGAAGCTTAAGAGTCCCTTCAGCTATCCCAAGCCTGGTGGAGTTACTCGCTGAAGGTCACTTTGGGGCATGTTGAGGGCTGATTACTCAGGCAGCCGTGCTGTGTGTAGGAAACAAAAAATGGCTGGGTTGGCCATGAGGCCAAGCTGCTGAAACCCAGCTCAGGATCCACAGAGTGACTCATTTTTTTCTCAGGTAAGGAAGTGAGCCCTTTCCGAAGCTCCCATGGAGTTAGCTATGCCAGTGGGCAGAAGCTCTGGGCTTTGAGATAAGAGTGTTCTTTGATTATTTGTTCTATCCTGCTGAGCTTCTAGAGCCCCTCTATTCCTGACAGGCTTTTCCCTTTGACCTAGCCCAGCATCTCCAGGACCTTTTGGAATTCAGGGAAATTGGGCTTGTCTGCTGGCTGCTAATTACTCTCACAGTCTCTGAATCTCAGGCTTACTGCCGTGGAAGGGAGACCTTATGTGTGTGTGTTGTAAGATCTGGGCTCCTTCTGTGACTACCTTTCCAATTTGTCCTAACTCATGACGTGCGTGTGGGTCTCTTCAAGCTCATCAGACATCAGTGAGAGCTTCCTCTGTGGGCTACTCGCTGGGCTGCACTGATCAGGAAGCCAAGGTTCCCACCCACGCTCCGTGGAGTGCCCCAGGGCTAGCAGAGCGCAACTGCCACTATTCAAAGGGGGAAGCCGCCTAGCACAGGCTTCCTAGAGGAGGAGCAACCTGAGCTGAGCCTTGTCTTAGATCAGCAGTTCTCAAGTTGTGGGTCACAACCCACAGGAACTGTATTAAAGGGTTGCGGCATTAGGAAGGTTGAGAACCACTGTCTTAGATCTTTGAAGACCACTAGTTCAGGGCTGTGACATGCAACCTCTGCATTGGTCCCAGAACGTTCAGCACTGGATGCTGGATGCACACGCTGTCTCCACATCAAGTATCTGCGAGCCAGAAATGTTCCTGCTTGTCTGGGAAGCAGTTAGCCACCATCACTCATGGGAGGTAGAGGACATGCGGCCACTCAGGGAAATAATTTCTTCCAGAAATTTTGAGGAATGCCTTGGACTCAATAATGTGCAACTTATTTTTTCTGAGATAATTTTCATCCAGGTTGTAAATATTTCAAGAGCAGGAGGAGGTTTGTCCCATTTGACTGGACTGGCATGCACTGTCGTAGGTTTGGACCAATCTACTGATAGCTGAAGGGACTCTTAAGCTTCTGGAGTCTTAGTTATGTCTGTTAACACTTTTAAAATTATCCTGGTGGAGGCTACAGCCTTGTCAAGGTACTGTGTCCTCTGGTCTGTTGTCTGAGCTCCTTGTAACACAGTTACACACTTGACTCCTTTGAAAATGGTGAAGACAACAGAACACACCCTAGCAATAGGCTGATGCAATGTGGCACCCAAACAGCATGGACTTAAGAACATGGGAAAGTACTCAGCAGCAGCAAAGCCAGAGAGAGACACCCAGGGGGCATTCAGGGTGCAAGTGGGCTTCTCTTTGCTCCCTGCATACGGCCGTAAAAGGAGAAAAGGACCCCCACATACCCAGAGGGGGCCTCTCTGGGTGAGGATGGTCAGTGCCCACGTGGACTCCAGTGCAGACTCTCTAAAAGGGCTGAGCATGGTCAGTGCCCACGTGGACTCCAGTGCAGACTCTCTAGAAGGGCTGAGCATGGTCAGTGCCCATGTGGACTCCCCCAGTGCAGACTCTCCTGAAGGGCTGAGCTCACGTGGAACTGACACCATCTGGGATTTTCTTCTCTCTTTTCACTGTTTCTGCTGTTCTTGTTTGAACCTCTAATCCAACTCTGGGCCACCAAGCTCTGGGTGCCACATTTGCTCTGTAGACAGGAGGGACAATTCTATTAACATATTTATGTGGTTTTGCACTGGAGCAGGAGCTAACTGATTTGACAAAGATCAAATAGCCTGCAGGTGGCAGGTCTTTGGACCCCAACTATTGTGCCCTTGGCACATTTGAGATATGATCCAAAGGACCATCAAGATAGCTAAATAGAAAGGAGAGCTTTATTCATGATATCCATAAGAAGAGATGGTCTCCAGTGTGGACTGAAGGTGTCTGTCCTAGAAGAGGGAAGGGGAAGTTAGGATTTTATGCCTCACAGCATCCATATTATACAGTATAGCCATGCATATTCGGCAGGTCTTGGGGAAAAGCTATACATATACATATTTATAAAGTGAGCTGAGCCCAGGGACAATGGGTAAATCTATATGTAATATGCATCCCATGTTCACTTTGAAACAGGGCTTTCGCATTAAAATGAGGTGGAATTTGGCTTTTTATGTCAAAAGGACACAAAGACAGTTTGTACACAGACTCTATAAGCTGGTTGGAGCTGGCTTAAAGTCCACAGTTGTTTATCAGAAATAAATTTAGAATCCCCTTCCTCCATCTAATCAGGCTTGTAGTAGGTTATGTTATAAATCGGAGTTGGGCAGGGTCTGATACTTGGATTGATAGCTCCTACTGCTGGGAAATTCACCAAGAGTGTAGGAATCCATAGACACTTGCCCTGCCAGCTGGGCCCTGAATCCTTGACCAAGAGTTATTGTAAGTTGTGTTTCCTTACCCTTAGGGTCCATCTTAGTTGGTAATGGCACATCTATTTTGGTTTCTCAGATCACAGTCATGGCCCTGCCGAAAGAGGCAGGCTTCTCTGTGCCTCTTGGTGTGGGGCCGTCCTGCTCACAGGGCGCCTCTGTCCTGCTTTTGTGCAGGGCCCATCCTGAACTGTGAGCATGGCTGACATCTTGGGAAAGCCAGAAGCCAGAGTTTGAGGCACCCTCAACATTTTCTAGAACAGGAGTAACTGGAGATACCAGTCTCTCAAAGCGGCTCCACCTTTTGTGGTAATTGGGAGTGCCTTCCCTTGGAGTGACTCAGAGGGTCCCCATTAGGCACACGGGAGTCCTTTCCTCCTTCTATGGCAGTCTGCAGCGGGTGGAGGGACGCCCACTCACTCCCTGGATACTCTCTGGATGTCCCTCTATGGCAGTGTTTTTCAACCTTCTTTATCCCACGGCACACGTGAACCTATAGTTAAACTACCATGGCACACTTAAATTACCTTGATAAAGAAAAGTTTTACAAAATATATGCTTACTGCACTTTGAATGTCTTGTGAAAATAATTTAATCAATGATCTTTAAAATTTTTGTGGCTCTCATGGCACACCAGGGCACCACGGCATACTGGCTGAAAATCCTTGCTCTCTGGCTTTGCTGCTGCCCACGACTTTACCATTATTTTTAAGCCCATGCTGTTCAGGTGCCACATCGCATCAGCTTGTTGCTGGGGTGTGTTCTCTTGTGTCTTCACAAGACTGTGCTCCCTCCCCCACAATGGGTACCTGGGCACCCTTTTCAATAGATCAAGATTTCAAAATTGCCCCCAAATTGGCCGGAACCATTCCCTGCCCCATGCCCAGGCTTTAGGTCTGGGGCATCAGGTGTGAGAGGTTACTGGGCCCCCACTGTGGAGCATCTTCGAGAGGCAGCCCCTGCCTGCACTGCTCCCTCCCTGCGGCCGGCGTTCCCCTGGCTTCTGTGAGAGAATGAAGAGATACTTCACTTTTGCTCTCTGAGTTTCATTAGGGCATAATGACTCACAGCTTTAAATCCAGACAGAGGCTATTAAAAGCAGTGAAAGCTATTTACTCTTTTTTTTCTTCTATCTTTTTCTATCTTGGAAGTAGGAAGGTGATGGGAACTTTGAAGTCTGCAAGGTCTTAAGTTTTGTGCCTTGGCATACTCCACACTCCTTGGCAGAAGGTGCTTACTGAGTCCCAGGAGGCGAGACTGAAGCTGGGGTCCAAGTGGGTAAACCTGAGATTTGGGGGCAAGCACTTGCGTTGGCTGGAAGCGCTTACAATGGTCCTGGTACTATACAAAAAATCTCATTAATGTACATTATCTCCATCAGTACATTCTCTCATAATCCTTTAAAATGGTCCTTTATGTATTCCCCTCTCACAGGTGAAGAAATGAGTTTGGAAACATTAAGTTGTGAAATAATAAGAAATACATGTTTGGTCTCTGCTTCTGATTCCTGGCATCCAGCTCATAAAACCCTTCAAATATCTGATGTAATAAGTGGTCTTTTTTTTTATTTGTGAGTGAGATGGCTGGTAGCCCAGGGCTCCTGGATCCCTTCAGGACGGAGACTCATTGTCAGAAGGTTGGAACTTTCAGCCCCATCCTCTGATCCATGGCAGAGAAGTGGGACTGAGGCTTGAGTTGATCAGCAATCACCAATGACTTAATCAATCATGTCATGTCTGTGGGTGAAGCCGCCATTAAATCTTAGAAGGCTGGGTTCCCAGGAGCTCCTGGATTGCTGAACTCATAGAGAAGCCTGGAGGGTGGGGCTCCTGGAGAGGGCTCTTGGCACCCCTTCCCTGCACCTGCCCTGGGCATCTCCTATCTGGCTCTTCCTGAGTTGTATCCTTATTTAATCAACAGGTAAATGTAAGTAAAGTATTTCTACTGAATTCAGTGAGCTGTTCTAGGAAATAAATGTGAGGAAGGGATTGTGGGAACCTCTGCATATAGCTTCTCTGTCAGAAGCACAGAAGCAGCTGGACTTTCAATTGGCATTTGAAAGGCAGACAGTCTTATGGGACTGATCCTCTAACCTTTGCATCTGGCACTGTCTCCAGATAGAGAGTGTCAGATGGGAGTTGAATTTTAGGACACCCAGCTGGTGTCAGTAATTGCTTGGTGTGAGAAACAAAACCCACTTTTTTTTTTTTAAGACAGAGTCTCACTCTGTTGCCCTAGGTAGAGTGCTGTGGCATGATAGCCCACAACAACCTCAAACTCCTGGGTCTGAGCAATCTTCCTTCCTCGGCTTCCTGAGTAGCTGGGACTATAGGTGTCCACCACAACACCGGTTAGTTTTCTATTTTTAGTAGAGATGGGGTCTCACTCTTGCTCAGATTGGTCTCTCCTGAGCTCAAGCAGTCCACCTACTTCTGCCTCCTAGAGTGCTTGGAGTACAGGTGTGAGTCACAGCACCTGGCCCAAAACCCACATGTTTTGATCTCAAAAGTGTTGAATGTTGAGTATAAGAGAAAGTTTGTTTTTCCCATACATAAGTAAATTTGTCTGAAGTCTCAGCTTGTAGGCAAAAAACTGCATTCCCCACTTGGCCATTGGGCTCCAGGCCTGCACTCACAGTGAGGCTATTCTGGGGCCTAGGCTCAACCCCACTGAGGAACCTGGATCAGTGGCTTAATTTTATCATCTATAAAGAGGAAATAATAATAATTTGTACTTAATATGGGTGTGGTAAGGATAACAAGAGATAATCCAGGTAAAGGCTTAACAACAATGGCCAGAACAGTGTTGTGTGCGCAGTATGTTTTAGCTGATTCATGCTGAGTTCAGCCCAAGAGGGCCTGGCACAGGGCCGACACTTTATGCCTCCAGGCTGGCTTCTGAGATCAGCTTCAGAGGTCCAAGTCCTTCTCAGAGAAGAAGGGCAGAGACCTCAGGGTGGAAAGTGCCCTTTCCTTGACACCTTCTGTGTACACTGGGCTCCTTAACTCTCTCTTTCATTCTTCTTAGGCTGAACTTCGGTGCACCCAGTTAGACCTAGAGCGGAAACTCAAGCTGAATGAAAATGCCATCGCCAGGCTCCAAGCTAACCATAAATCCGTCCTGGTAAGGCTGGTCTGGGTCACCTGTTGGGCCTCAGCACATATGGCTGCTGTCTAGGGTTGTAAGATCTGGGGCTGCCAGTTCAGCCTGTGCATCTACAGCTTCCTTGGGGTTCTCAGCAAGCGAGAATGGTAGGACAGTTCCTTGATATCAGGATTTGTTAAGAAATTAGCTTAAATTTCAAAACTGTCGAGTGATTTGCTTTTTAATAGTATGCAGCAGAACCTAGACTAGTCCTCTAATAACAGCATTCTTATTTTTGACCAGGAGAAAATGGGGGGTATGTGTGTGTGCATACACATAGGGGTGGGTGTTTAGTCAGAGCTTGGGGAATTATATATAATCTTGGTTTTTTCCATCATGACGATGTGCTCTGCATGTAAGTCTCCTGGTCTTACATCCTGGTAGTAACCTGGATAGAGTTGAAGCACATTCTTCTCAGTAAAGAATCACTAGAATGGAAAAGCAAATATTCAATGTAGTCTATGCTAATATGAAGCCAGTAGATGATCTAATTCATGCCTACATAGGAGGAAAACTCATTTCAGTTCAAGTTGAGGGGGGAGGGGAGGGAGGATTCTCCCACTTAATGGGCACAATGTAGTGGTGTATGGCACAGCTTTTGGGTGCAGAACACAAGTAGAAGAGGGACTCTACATAACTCAAATATTGTGACCTGGTTGTTTGTACCTTCATATTAACCTGAAATTAAAAAAGAAGAGAGAGAGAGAGAACAATTGGGTTAGTGGATAGTACTTCAGAAGGCCAATGTGGAGACAGGCTGCCTACCGTTAGCCTCTCTGATTTATGGCCATTTTCCAAATAAATTCCAACTAGACAGCAAGCCATCTCCAAGTAGACTCTAAGCAGTTCTAAAAATGCTTCTCATTAGTGGCAAGGCAACAACACTACTCAGAAAAGAATGCAAAACACCTCCCTCATGGCAGGGAGCCAGGGTATCACCTTTGTATACAGAGAGTGAACAACTCTGTCCATCATCTGTCTGCACATCATCCATCCATCCATTCATCCGCTCATCCATCTCTCCATCCACTCATCCATCCATCCTCTCATCCATCCACTCATCCATCTCTCCATCCACTCATCCATCCACTCATCCACTCATCCATCCACTCATCTACTCATCCATCCACTCATCTATTCGTCCATCCATCCACTCTTCCATCCACCCACTCATCCATCCACATCCATCCATCCACTCATCTATCCATCCATCCACTCATCCATCCACCCATTCATCCATCCATCCACTCTTCCATCCACCCACTCATCCATCCACATCCATCCATCCATTCATCTATCCATCCATCCATTCTTCCATTCATCCATCCACTCATCTATCCATCCATCCACTCATCTATTCATCCATCCACTCATCCTTCCATCTGCTTATCCACTCATCCATCCATTCATCCACTCATCTATCCATCCACTCATCCACTCATCCATCTACTCATCTATCCATTCACTCATCCACTCATTCATCCACTCATCCACTCATCTATCCATCCACTCATCCATCCATCTCCTCATCCACTCATCCATCCATCTACTCATCCACTCATCCATCCATCTACTCATCCACTCATCCATCCATCCATCCATCCACTCATCCATCCATCCACTCATCCATCTACTCATCCACTCATCCATCCATCCACTCATCCACTCATACATCCATCTACTCATCCACTCATCCATCCATCTACTCATCCACTCATCCATCCATCCATCCATCTACTCATCCATCTACTCATCCACTCATCCATCCACTCATCCCCTCATCTATCCATTCACTCATCCACTCATCTATCCATCCACTCATCCATCCATCTACTCATCCATTCATCCATCCACTCATCCATCCACTCATCCACTCATCCATCCATCCATTCATCCACTCATCCATCCACTCATTCATCCTTCCATTCATCCACTCATCTATCCATCCACTCATCCATCCATCTGTCCACCTCTAATGCATGTATTCCTTTCAACTTAATTTATGCCTCCTGGGTGTTTGTAACTAAATAGCTGCTAAAAGATGAAACCTGTTTTGTCTTTATTATTAGGAAAAAGCTATTTTTTCAGCGATGAGTTCTTGAGCTCAAATAATCCTCCTAAGTCTGCCTCCTAGTAGTAGGGACTATTGGCATGAGCACCTGTACCTGCCAGTAACATTTCTTAACCATTATATTTCATTAAAAGAAGAGAAATAGTTGTCTTGTAAATCTTTAGAGATAGTTGATTTCCAGGCTTAATATAACACAGAAAACCATATGGCACTCTTTAATTTTCAGACGCTTTGATCCTTACTACTCAGTTCTCCTTATAATCTGGGCAGAAATGATTATTACAACGGCCACCATGCACAGGGCCATGAAGACATGAGAGATGAGAAGACTTGTCCAGGGCCCTAGACTGGTGGAACGGGAGAACCTGGGCTTGTTTTTCCCTCCACCTGAGCATGACTTAGTCTACTGACTGACACGCACACCACCCGCAGATCTTTAAACCATTAACTGTTGGCTACTTTGATATTTTTGTGGCCCCTCCTGCCTGTTCTATTTACTTGTCATTATTTGGGCAGTAACATCCTTCCACACATTCCATTTACACTCAAGAAAGAAGTATTTCTCAATGGGAAGATTGAGGAATGAGAGGCTGGAGCAGGAAATGGTCCACGAATAGCATCTGGGACAGCCCTTCCACCATCCGTCCTTGGGGTGGCCTCAGTAGAGGTGGGGTTGGGGGGACTTGGATATTGAAATCTGTGTTTAGACTCATGCCTCTTAGCCTTGTGGTGTCATGCTCCCACGAGGAACCCACATGTCATTATGAAAGAGAATAAATGGATTCTGCCCCTTCCCACAACACCCACATATTGGTCCCCACGCCTTGTCTTGCTCCTGCTTCCTGGACTCATGGGCCGGGACACTTGGCACCAGTGTGGGTGGCGTCGGGTGAGTAAGCAGGTACCTAGAGCCTGGATAACACACCAGCAATACTCCCTCCCACTCCCAAAGCATAATAACCAAACCCCAGCTATCTTCTGAGGTAGATTTGTCCAGCTGAACTTCTTTGCAATATGGAAATACAATTTGACCTTTAGGTTTAAATCCAGTGATGATTAATTGTCTCAGTTCACAGTATTTACAATGACAAGGGAGGCAATGGCTATAAAAGTTGGCCCAGGAATTACTGGGCAGGCTTGGAATCGTTTCCTTTTGTTCACCTGCCCAGCAGCAGCCTGTGTATTTAGTGGCCAAGGAGTTAAGTCCTGTCCCCTGGTCTGGTGCTGGGAGGGCTTCAGTTTCATGGGCTGAGGCTCAAAGATCCTTCCCTGCAACCGCATTGGGCTATAGCCATGGGCGGGAAGCCCAGCTGAACTCCCCATGCCATCCCACTCATCCTGCTGAGTGTCCAGTGTCCACAGGGAAGTGCTGGGCTGCAGCCCACAATCCCCCTATGGGCCCTGCTCATGTCGAGGCAGAGAAGCCTCTTTAGGCAGGCTGCCCGGGGTCACCCTCAGCTGTGTGATCTCGGATAAATCACGGTAGTTACTGGGGCTTCAGTTTCTTTGTCTAAGAAATGGAGACCATAATAGCACCTGCCTTTCCGAGTCGCTAAGAGAGAATATGAGTGAGGTGTGCAGAGCCGTGCCTGGCACACACTGAAACCTTACTGCAAGTTGGTGTTTCTGTGGTTACTACTTTATGAAATTACAAGGGTGAGCAAATGGGCAGCAGAGGGTCCTTGTTCTCAGGTGAGCGGGAGGAGGGAGAGAGGTGAAGGTCAGAGGACCACAGAGCCTGCCCCGGGCAGCAGGTGTGGCTATGGTGGTTCACTCTTCTCACAGTGCTCTGAACCCCCACAGCCCAGAGCCCATGCTCGGCCTGCCTCAGTTTCCCTGTTGTCCCCACCCACCTCCATCCCACCTGAGAGATTTCTGAGCAGCACCTTGAGGTGTGGCTACCCCTTCTCCCTAGGACCAGGGCCACCCCTGAACATCCAGGGCTCCAAGGGAGTCACAACAGCATTTCTTGAGGGTTTCCCAAACCATTGGCCGGGCTGCCCTTGCTTCTCAACACTGTCATCTGTCCAGAGGCTTTTCTCAGTGTGGGCTTGAGGAATCTGGAGAAAATCTGCCATCCGCAGGATTCTCAATCCTGTTACTACAGTTTTTGTTTCAACTCTGTCCAGCTGCCCCCCACCCCAAGGAAGCAAACAGGTGATGGGAAAACTGTCATAAAAATGAGAATGTAGGGGGAGTCTACACACCTTCCCTCCATCCCCTCCAGAAAGGCACCTCTTGCTTTCTTTCTCAGCTCATTTCCTCCCTCTACCACCAAATCAAAGGCTGATCAGACTCGTCGTTCTAGTGGGATTGCATCCTGGGCCCTGGCCTGACCCAGGTCCCCAGCCAGGTGGAGGAACTCCTATCTGGTGGCATCATTTTTCCCCCCATCTCCCTCGGAACCTCAAGGCTGCCATATGTGCTGGACTCAGAGTCTCATTCTTTCTAAGCCTGCTACTTACTGGCTTTCTTTTTCTGTCTAGGTCTTATTCTCCCTCCCTGGGAGATGAGGTGGGTCGGGGGTTCCCTGGTGGCCCCTCTCTGCGGATTCCCATTGTTGCAACCAACTGCCTTTTCAGGGCTGGCCTTTAACCTAGGGAGGAGGAAGAGAAAAAGAGTGCCCACAGGGGCTGCTCAGAGGGCTGTCTCGATGGGTGGGGTGGGTGCGACAATGGGGAGACTGAGACAGGCAGAGAATGAGCAGAGTTTGGAGCACTGTCTGAAAAGTGAATACCTGAGAACTGGAGAAGCCACCTGGCTTCCAGCCCCCTCCCCCTCAGCTGCACACCTGGGGGAAAGGGAGGCAAAGCAAAGGAAATTGTATTTAAAAGCTTTATGTGAGATTAGAAAGATAATTAGTGTTTGTGTGCTGTGGGGGAGTGAAGGGAGGCTGAGCAAAGGAAATTGGGTCCAAGACCTTTATGTGAAATCTAACAAGGTAACTAGTATCTGTGCAATGAGTTGCAACTGGATGCTTTCAGCAGGAGCTATCTGCACCAATATTTAAGAACTACCAAAGAGGCTTGGCGACCGTACACCGACCGGGGCTGGTGGGTTCAAACCTGGCCTGGGCCAGCTAGACAACAATGACAACAACAACAACAACAACAACAAAAATAGCCAGACCTTGTAGTGGGCGCCTGTAGTCCTGGGTACTTGGAGGCTGAGGCAAGAGAATCACTTAAGCCCAAGAGTTTGAGGTTGCTGTGAGCTGTGACATCATAGCACTCTACCGAGGGTCACATAGTGAGACTCTCTCAAAAAAAAGAAAAAAACTACCAAAAAATAAAATAAAAAAATAAAAAAATAAAAATAAAAATGCTACTTTTGGCCAAGCACAGTGGCTCATGCCTATAATCCCAGCACTCGAAGAGGCCGAGGTGGGAAGTCCCTGGAGCTCAGGAGTCTACCAGCCTGAGCAAGAGCAAGACCCCTCTGTACTAAAAAAATAGGAAAAACAAACAAACAAAAAAACCAACTAGCTATGTGTTGTGGCGGGTGCCTGTATTCCCAGCGATTTGGGAGGAATGAGGAAAACATTTAAACTTGCCTTGATTTTGTGAGTACCATACTGACTGAAGGCACTCATGAACGGTGTCTGCGTGTCAAAGAGTTATATATACACGGTGTCACCAGCATATCCTTGGTGGCTCCTACACTGATCAGGTTTTATATTTTATCTGAATGCAGCATTCCATTCTGCACACACATGCTCACCCCACAGTTGCTTGGGTACCATGCTTGCTTACACATACCCTACTAAACATTTTGTGGGGCTCTACCTGGTAGAGATCCTCCAATCTTAGATGTGCTCTCAGCTCTGATAGACTCAGCAGTCCATTTCATCAGGCAAAAGGAAATGCTAAGAAAACTAATTCATGCTACTGGTTGGCACCAAAAAGCCAAATGAGTAATTAACTTTTTGAAATGTGACTATCAGGTGTACTGACTTCATGTATTTCCCCAGTATAGGAAAATTAGTTTCAGAGACTTGATGAACAGCCCCAGACAGTCAGAGCTGGAGGAGATCTCAGATCATGTAGTAATTCAGATTCTTACCAATAGGATGAGGAGACTCAGTTAACAAGCAAATCGTTTGTCCAGGAACCCTGAATTCACATGCTTCCTGATTTAGGGGTTCCTTAAGTTTATGTTTCTGTATGCTGTGCGTCGATGCTTGGCTGACCTCTCACCCCATTCCTGCCAGGTGTCGGTGTCAGAGGTAAAAGTGGTGGCCGAAGAGCAGTTTGGGGAGCTCCTTGCAGCTGTGAGGAAGGCCCAGGCTGATGTGATGCTCTTCTTGGAGGAGAAGGAGCAGGCTGCGCTGAGCCAGGCCAATGGCATCAAGGCCCACCTGGAGTACAGGAGTGCAGAGATGCAGAAGAGCAGGCAGGAGCTGGAGAGGGTGGCCGCCATTGGCAACACTGTCCTGTTCCTGGAGGTACGTACGGGTCGGGCCGGGGGGAGGTGGAGGCTCGCTCTGGTAATGGAACTGCCTCTTGATAAAGGGGGCACACAGGGAACTGTGAGGGAGCAGAGGAGCAGATCTGAATTCAGCAGTGTACAGAAGGGTTGGGGAGGGAGGGCTGCTCAGAGCAGGTGAGACTGAACCGGGTCCTGGGAGAGGAGTCAGGTTCAAGGTGCAGTATGTTCCGGGTGCAAAGGTGGAGAGGTTTGAGAACACACAGATGACTTGGGGAGCCAGGGCACTTTCACAGTGGTGAAGTGAGAGACCAGGCCAGCATCAGCTGTGAGGGACTGCGGGTGTGAGAGTCAGGAGAGCAGATGAGGGTGTTCTGTAAACCGCTGTGGTGGTCACTGGTATGGAGGCTTGTGTTATAGCAATGAGACTGGAGCCTTGCTGCTTTTCAGAGAGGGCTGCAGTTGTGGAAGTATCAGCAGAGGAGGTGGAAATTTTCATTACAATGTATCATTATGTATTAAGCCACAGGCCACCAGAGCCATCTATGAACGACATGTACTCTTGCAGGAAAGGAACTAACTTGGGAATAAATACTGTTATCCTGAATCTGTCACTCAACAGCTGTGTAGGTTTTAAGAAGTCGCTTAATCTCTCTGGGTCTCAAATTTTTCATTATCAATAAGAAGGTTGGTATAAATAATTTATAAGTTTCCTTCTAAGCTTTAACATTTCAAAATATAAATACTTTTTCTTGCTCCCATTTTTGAAAAAATTTCCTTCTATCTATAATAAACATAAATGTTAATTGTGGAAAATTTTGAAAAATATAGAATGAGAGGGGAAAATATCACCCATCATTCCAGCTCTCAAAGACCGTCAGGATTTTACTGAGTGAGAGTATGAGAAGCAGAGGAAGACAGATAAAAATACCAACAGGATCTCTTTTTCTGTCACTTTTTTTGCTTTTCAGTATCAGAACACACACACATAAAATAGGAGTAGAATATTTGGCCTCTAGTATCAAGTTTCTCCCAAGATCTTCTGCCTAAGGAGTATACAAATAATTTCTCTTTGTTTTCTTTTTTCCTTTTATAACTTTCTTTTTAACATAAAGACTTTAAAGTGTATAACATAAATTGTATTTATTTATTTTGGTGAAAGATAACTCAATTTCCCCCCAAATTGTTAGTCAATTGAAAAAAATAATATTTATCCATTTCCCCCACTGATTTAAAATGCTACTTTTCCCCAGAAATAAAAAAATAAAAAATTCGATGGATTGTTTTTGTTATCAATATTAGGATATTATTAAATCAGCTGTTGAATTAAGACTTAAAAAATAAAATAAAAATGCTACTTTTGGCCAGGCAGAGTGGCTCATGCCTATAATCCCAGCACTCGGAGAGGCTGAGGTGGGAAGTCGCTGGAGCTCAGGAGTCTACCAGCCTGAGCAAGAGCAAGACCCCTCTGTACTAAAAAAATAGGAAAAACAAACAAACAAAAAAACCAACTAGCTATGTGTTGTGGCGGGCGCCTGTATTCCCAGCAATTTGGGAGACTGAGGCAGAGGATTGCTCAATTCCAAGAGCTTGAAGTTGCTGTGAGCTATGATGCCACAGCACTCTACCCAGGGGGAAAAAGGAGACTCTGTTTCAAAAAGAAAAGCTAGTTTTCATGTATAGTATTAAATCTATATAGGACGTTAAAATTGTATTTGATTCATCTTTCTCTCTTAGCTGCTGTCTGGTTTGGACTCCATGGCTCTATGTAACCATGTGGATCACTAGGATTTCTGCTACACCCAGTCTGCTCTTCAATGCCTCCATTACATCTGAATTTTGATATTATTATATCTGAAAGCAATCTTTCCTGATCACCACATTGTGTTGAGATTTAAGTGACTAATGTGATTATCTGTGTGAAAACATTTTCCAAACCTCTCAAGCACAAGTAAGACTTACAAAAAATTATGCGTCTAATTGGATTAACAAGGAAAAGGCAGCATTCCTGCCCAAGAACTTGTTGTGGATCTATAGATACTGCAATTAGCTCCTCCATTCCCATCATACCATGGCCTGTGTTTAAGTTATCCCACGATTTTTTTTTTTTAATTTGGAGAAGGACTAAGGAAATGAAAGGATCAAGAATGTTCTTATTCTTTGGTCCCCAGACTGGGCTGCATTTTGGATCTGTTCATGGCTGTCTAGTATCTTTCCATTTTTAAAAGTCCACTTTCCCACTTGATTTTAAAAGACCCACTTAGTGCTCAATAGCATGGGAAAGGGCTTTCTGTTTTACTAGCCCCTGAGCTAGACACTGTACATACACTTTCTTTGGGAAGGACAGCCCACTTCACAGATGTGGAAAGTGATGTAATGAGGAGAGCCTAATTTAAGACTTACAGAAACCCAAGCAAGCTCTGCTGTTTTCTTTTCTGCAGGAGTACTGCAAGGTTAAGAGCACCGAGGACAGCAACGCCTTCCCTAGTGTTTACATAGGCCTGAAGGATAAACTCTCCGGCATTCGCAAGGTCATCGTGGACTCTACCGTACACTTAATCCAGCAGCTGGAGAACTACAAGGGAAGGCTCCAGGAGTTCGCCAAGGAAGGTGAGAGGCCTCCTAGGCCCTGTACTGTGGTAGGTGAGCCTCTAGCAGTGATTGATGGGAAGGTGACAGTGGGCCAAGGAAATCAGGGGGTCATTTTCAAAGCCATCCTTCAGATGGGCCCTCATCTTGGTGCTTTTATTTTGCAATTAAGACCAAGAGAAGGTAAGCTAGTCACATCATGCAGCTGGCTGGTGTTTCTGTGACTAGCTTCTCAGGATTAGTGCCTATACCTTAATTTTTTTTTTTCAAGACAGAGTCTCACTCTGTTACCCTGGGTAGAGTACTGTGGCATCATAGCTCACAGCAACCTCCAACTCTTGGGCTCAAGAGATTCTCTAGCCTCAGCCTTCTGCGAAGCTGGGACTGCAGGCACCTGCCACAATGCCTGGCTAGTTTTTCTAATTTTACTAGAGACGGGGTCTCGTTTTTGCTTAGGCTGGTCTTGAACTCCTGAGCTCAAGCAATCCACTCCTGTCAGCCGCCCAGAGTGCTAGGATTATAGGCGTGAGCCACTGTGCCCAGCCAATGCCTATACTTTTAAGTGAAATCCAAGCCAGTCTGTGATCTTTTTCAGCAGAATTTGGCTTTCTCTTTAGAGCAGTGGTTCTCAACCTGTGAGTCATGACCCACAGGAACTGTATTGAAGGGCTGTGGCATTAGGAAGGTTGAGAACCACTGCTTTAGAGATGTGGTCCACTGAGCATGCTTCACTGAGACCTTATGGGTTACAGCCTCTTCTGGCCCCAGGAAGCCCAGGGAGGCTGGGCTGGGAAGTTCTGATTCTCCTGACCACCTGGACAGGTGTGCATTTACAACTCTCTGATTTTCTAGAGGAGTATGACATCAGAACTCAAGTGTCTGCTGTTCAGCGCAAATATCGGACTTCAAAACCTGAACCCAGAACCAGGGAACAGTTCCTCCAATGTAAGTTGGGACTAGTTTCCCCTTTCCCCCAGTTAGCAGCAGTGTAATGCTTTGCTGAAGCAAGGACCACTGTTTGTCATGCAGGTTTCAGGTCTTTGCAACCTTGATCTGTCCCTAAATAATAGACTTTTAAAAATGTAATTGAAAAATTTTTTAACTTCTCATTTTGAAGTAATTTGAAACTTAATGCTGGCATTCTTCCTTTCTTTCTTTGGGATGCCACGCCATTGTCTC